GCGCGTCGAGGCAACCAAGGCCGCCCGGGACAAGGACGTGGGCACCCACCGCCCCTCCATGGACGACCTCGCGCCGCTCCTCGCCAAGCACGCCGCGGGGACCCTGACCTTCAACGACACGTTGCCTATCCAGAAGCACGATCAGCGCGAGGTTGTTGGATGGCTTTACATGGTCACGGGCAAGCATACCAAGGCCATCAACGAAGAAGCAGCCATGGCGTCGCTGCTGCTCGACAACCAGTCAACCGCGCTTCAGTCACGCGTGTGACCGCAGTTGCTTTTTCCCGCAAGTTTTGCGTTTTTGCAAAGTGGCGGGCGGATTGAAGGAATCCCCTGGTTCGCGTTTTCCAGGCATGCCACAGGATGCCGGGATTGTGCGCGGTACGTATGTCTGTTATTTGCCGTGATGCCTCTGTCACGATGGCCTCACGGATCTGTGGATCGTGCACGATCTCTTTCGGCATTTTCCAGTAGTCTCTACCCATCGACTGGTGGACGTCCTCGAGCACCAGTGCGTGGATCGCATGATCACCTGCGACGTATTTCGCTGGGCGATGGTAGTCGCTAGAGACGTAGCAGTCCCTCACCAGGTGCTTGTCGGCCAGGATATAGTCCAAACGGGTATTGTTATGTGGTCCGAAGTTGGTTCGCGTCTCATCGTGATGCATACGCCAAGCATCCATCACCCGGAGCGCGACCAGCCACTCGAGACAATTGCCACGACCCACGGTGTGATCGTGGTGCTGACATTCCACGTCAAGATACAAGTCGAGCGGTAAGTTTAAATCGCCCAGGGCCACATGTATGCTGTCGTCTGGGAAGTCGCGTGGTATGTCGAAGAACGCCGCCCGTTCGGCCGGTCGAACCGGGGCATACACGCAGTGAAAATATATTGCGGTCTCCTGCCAATTTGTACTGACCACCATGCATTTGTAGGGCACGTCCAGCTCCTACAGATGTCGAAGGTCGCGGAAGTCTGGGAGTGTGTCGTCGAAAACGAGTGCAACACCTCCACTTCGATGTGCTGGGTCCTCGTCCGGCGCGGGGACGTAGTTTGGTTCGGTACGTGGGTACGCACTTCCGTGTCCGAATGCGAGTTGAATGTGATAGGAAAGCGTCAACAGGTGATGCCTGTCCTTCAGTTTTGTTTCTAGGGCCACCACGTTTGCTTGGCGGACAATGCGCTCAACAAAGGTATGCCCGTTGTCGACTGACGAGATGCCATTGACATTGCACGTGAGGAATTCGACGGATGGGATGGATTGGTGTCGGTTTGACAGTAGGCGGAACTAACTTCCGACGTGTCGGGGCCTCTAGGCCAGGCTGGGTTAGCCGAAGGAAACGGTTCGTCCCGTCCTTGCAAATTGGCAAGGATTGAACGTTGTCGTAGATTGGTTCCAATCTGTCATTCGCTGTAGCTGTTGTACTAGTCCATGCGCGGGTACACTGTCCACCAATCGTCCCAGAACGCAACGACCCACTGGTGATGGAATGATGGTCAGCAGGGTATTCGGTGTTAGCAGGTGACCTGCGCCCGACGACATTCACAGGACGGGTTTGCCAGTCAAGCACAACATCCACGCGTCGCTCTGGAAAAAGGCAGGAGCAACAATGCTCAGTCACACCTCCAAATGGGATAGTGCATCCTCCGTGCGGAGTTGTTGCGGCAAAATTGGTTCCTCGGTGTTATCCCCCGTTCGTATTTTCTAACCCTCGCGTCGGCTCAACAGTTGGGTCATGCTGAGCTTTGTTTTGCCGAAGATATGTTTGTGCGTGTCTGCAAACGACTGCGTTGTTTTCTCCGTAGATGCGGAACACCAGCGCTGCCAGGTGCGCAAGTGGATCAGCGACTCAAACGTTGTTGGGTCCTCTGTCGCCATGGTATGCAATACGATGTTTGCTGAGAGGTGTTTCTTTTGTAGCTGGGTCCAGACTTTGTCTCTCTAACCCTTGGAAATATACCCCGTGAGATCGTTGTGGGTGTCCGCTGCTGCGTCGCTAAAGGTGCGATCTATATCCTCGAGCTCTTCGTGGTGCAGCTGTTGAATGGACGTCTCAAGGATTTCGTGTAGGCGCTCAATTGACATTGTCTCAACGTCAAAGAATAGTGCATTTCCGACTTGTGGGTACGTCGCGATGCACTCCTTACGGTCCTCCTCTGACAAGAATTGACGCTGAAAGGTGGGGACAATTGTGACGATATCCTGCTTTTCCCTCCACTGCACGACCCGAAAACCTCCGTTGTTGCGTCGGAGGACGTCAAAAAAGTTCGGTGTCGCAAAGTCCTCCAGGTTTTTCAGCGCTGTGCGCGTCCGCTCCTTGCGTTTGCCACGACGCTGGACCACCTGGTACGGTTGGTCCACCTCCATGAATAAATGTGTGTCCTTGGAGTCGTCGATATCCATCTCGCCGATCTCACCGTCGTCCTCGTAGACATCAATGTGCTCATGAGGCTCAGGCGTGGACATACTCGTCGCCTCCGTGCCTACGATGGAGCGCTGAAGGGACGATGCAAATACACAAGAAGTGTGGGCAACGTTCGGGTGTGTCCTCTCCGCTGCTGTACGACGCGAGTTCGGTTGACTTACGGTCGTGTCGTTTTTCGGCTTTTTCGACGCGTTAGAATCTAGGTCAACTCGACAAGGGGGTGCTGGTTGAGTCGCCGTATCGATGTCGGGGTGCTGTTCCATCGACGTGTCTCGGGTACGTTTAACTTCGAGATCTAAGCAGTGTAGAGATACACCGTTTGCACCGTGGAAAGGCGTCCCTTTTGTGCCTTTAAAATAGACCCGGTGATCGAATTTTTGATATTTGATTTGGTTGATGGACACGCCGTGGATCATGAGTTCCTTCGGGATTGACCCATCCGCGAAGTAAACTCGCCACGCGTTCGTATGGCAGCCCGTTCCAGGAATGACCGCGCGATGGCTTTGATATGCGACATCCACGCCAAGCTGGGTCAGCTTGCGATAGAATTGCGTGGCATCAAGGTTGTCCCGGATGCCCGTGACATCCATGTAGCACAGAGAGTCTAGGGGGTGTTCCTCCTGCACTGGGATGAGGTAGCGCTTTCCCAGGATGGACAGGTATTGTCCTCCAAGCGCCTTTCGCACACTCGACGACGTTGCAGAAAACAAAATGCCGCCACGCCCAAGCAGTGTGATTTGGACGAATTCAGACAGGAACGCCTTGACGGCGTCGGTTTGCGTGCTTGTAAACAGCGACGACATGATCGCTTCGTGCGACTGCGCAGCTAGTGCATCACCCGTGTCTACGGTGAAGCGGGCCATAGCCACTTTAGGCGAGTATGGCCGAGCAAGGGTAATTTGGTCGAGCACATCGACGCGATCCTTTTTGGGCTTGGCGAGCTCAATTAGGATCGCTTCGATGGCGTCGGCAAATGGCGGGACAAAAGTTGTCTTAGAGTACCGATTCGACGCAGCGAATATTCTTGAAGCGCGACGCTTTTGCAACTGGAAACTTTCACATTTCAACAGACCGTGCTACTCAGTTGATCGACCACATACTCCCTGCGCTTTCCCTCATGGCTTTGCTCCTAGACAGCTTCTCCAGGGCACGTGTAATAACTATTCCTGCTTGTCGATTCGATCTCGACTCCTACACTGACATGGACTGCCGGTCCAAGTTCCGTTTTCGAAAACACGACATCCCCAAGCTGGCGACTTTGCTTGAAATACCAGACCCATTCGTTACCACCGCCCGATACCGTGCAACCACAATCGAGGCTCTTTGCATCATGTTGACCAGACTGACATGGTTCGGAAGAAGCCGTGAAGCGCTCTGCAATTGCGAACGAAACAATGATTCATGAGTACAATCGGTTCGGCAACTTGCTTCAATGGGATTTCGATCGTCTTGATGGCGAATGGATGGAAAGATGCGCAAAGCCATTACATAGTCAAGGCTCCCCTCTGAATACTTGGTCATGCTACGCATCATTTCCAACGTGCCTTTCATGATTTCAAACTGAAGTTGTCGTTCCTGCTGCTCCAACGCAAAGCGAGCTTCTCGTTCAGCTTTGTCAAGTTCATAGCGCTTTTCTTCAAGCTCCAATTTTCGCATGGCAAGGGCATTAGCCTCTTTTTGGACGGCAATTTCTTGTAGTTTGTACTCATTAGCGTTTTCCAAAAACGATGTAATGCAAAGCGCTGCGTTGGCGGAGTCGCGTGCCGCAGAAGAGCCCCGGTTCCCTTTGTAAGGAGTTGTCGAAATTGAACCTTCAGTGTCACTGCTCTCAAAGTCCA